ATGCGGGGCTCGATCCCAGGACCCTGGGATCATGACCTGAGCCGAAGGCAGACGCTTAACGACTGAGCCACCCAGGCGCCCCTGGCCTGCTATCTTTGAACTGCTGAAATTAGTTCTGCAGCTTAGGCCAGTGCATTAGCATTTAAGGCAGAACACAAGGGCTAACCACATCCCTATCTGTAAGAACAGTAAGGGAAGGGGGCGCCTTGGTTGAGCGTCTGCCTTCAGCTTGGGTCATGATCCCAGAGTCCTGGGATCAAGCCCCACATCGGGCTCCCTGGCTCATTAGAGAGCCTGCTTCTCCCTCTCCCTCTGCTGCTCCCCCTGCTTGTGCTTTCTCTCCCTCCCTCCCCCCCTTTCTCTCTGTCAAAATAAATAAATAAAATCTTTGAAAAGAAGAAGAAGAACAGTAAGGGAGGCTGGGAGAGTGAGCATTTGAGCTTTAGCAGCCTCTGTATGAGGCAGACAGGGGAGAAGAGGATTGGGTATAAGAATAGGAGGAAGCAACCTACAGTGATGGTCACATGTTCTTAAAAAAGGACACTTCTGTTCTTAATATAATTAAGCATTAAAAAACCCAAATGTCTCCTAGAAAGGCTGCTTCAGTGCTTTCCACTTTTGCCAATAAATTTTTGTAAATTAGAATCCTGGAATCAGTTAAAGAGACTGCACAAGGCACCTGGTTATTGCCTTACCACTCAGGGCGTGAGTCCCCGACCAGCGGCGTTACCATCTCAGGACCTACCCTCACCTACTAAGCTGGAACCTGCATTTTCACAGGATCCCAGGATTCCCACACATATTAAGGTTTAAAAAGTACTGCTGCGGTCCATCACCATCAGCTGCTTATGTAGGAAGGGTCCTAGCTCAAGCCTCAGCCAGGCTGACCCTAAGAGTTAGGCCAGAGGACCAGTGGGGTAGGTCCACCCGGAATCTATGCACTCTGGGGACTGGTTCCGTCTTTGGGAAAAAATTTGTCTAAAAGGAAGAGACTCGGGCATACAGAACGGGAGAGAAGACATCCATCGGGAGAGCAGCCGTGGGGCACCTCCATGGGCCACCCAGGGAGAAAAGGAGTGGCCACGGTTGCCCAGGGCAAATAGGGTGGGGAATGAAAGGAAATCGTTAAAACCCCCAAAAATGCACTTGCCCTGTTTTCTGAATATTGATGATGTGACCAAGTACTTCATGACCCTCTCTTCAAGACTCACCTTTCCCTGGTCATGTGGGGAAAGTGCGTATGGGAAGTGGGACTGACTGTCCTCCCAAGACAGCATCCTCCATAGGAAACGGCCGCCACCAAGCTGACCTCAGCAGACGGCTGGAGCAGAAGGCCGCTTCCACCACTGCCCGGTGCCCAAATTCTTCACAGCACTGCAACTTGAGCTATATAACAGGCTTTTCTGAAATTTCAGACATAACGAGGAAGCTAAAATGTGGGCAGGAGAGACCTGAGCCTACATGGGTGCTCTTCCCAACAGAGTCATCTACCTGCCCCCCACCTCACCTCCAGCTCCACATGGATCCAGCAGAAGCCACGACACTGAGATTTTCTTACCTTGGGCCACATCAAATTCCCAGGAAGGGCTCCCTCTCCCCCTAGTCTCAGTAGTAGAAAGGGAATCTGCATAGACATTTATTCTCCTCTTGTCAAGAGCAAACTCCCAGCCATCAGGATGTTGTATTTTTCCAGTCCTAACTACTCGTCTGCCTTCCCCTACAAATCCTGGAGCTGCTTGGGCTGGGGACTGTATCTTAATCATCTCTGGATCTCTTCTCCAAGTGCCGGCTTCACTCTATGCAGAACGAGCCCACTTCCTTTTTAAGCCTTTTCCAACCCAAACAGACATGTGAAACCACAAAACCAATACCCCAGATTTTGCCTCCTTTTCATCCCTGTGAGAAGTTCCTAAAATGAGCAAGCCGCTGCTGCCGAAAGGCATTCCCGATCAACCTCATTATGCAGTGTTTACCCCTGTAACAGGCTGTCATTCCCAGAGCAGCAGAGAGCTCATTCCTGTAAATGTCACTACTTACC